CCAACAACAACAACAACAACAACAACAACAACAACAACAACAACAACAACAACAACAACAACAACAACAACAACAGCCTTTCAAAAACCTACCCCGGAGACAAGATTATAACTACCGCACAGAACGGCCTAAGTTGCAAAATGAGCAATCACAGCAATATCGCCAACAACAGCGACAACAACAACAACAACAACAACAGCAACAACAACAACATCGTCAACAATATCAGCAGCAACAACATCAACAACAAAATAAACACTATCGTAATCAACAACAACAACCTCAGCAACCCCACCAACAACAACATAGCCAACAACAACAACAACATCGCCAACAACAACAACAACAAAATCTTCATCATCAACAACAACAACAACAACAACCACAACACCATCATCATAACCACCATCACCAACAGCAAAATCACCACCAGCAACATCCCACCGGCCTCACAACCTCCCTCACAAACCAACAACAACAACAGCATCACCACCACCAACAAGACCATCGACCAGGCCCCCAAAGACCCCCGCAGCAGCAACCACCAGCAACATCCCCCGTGGAGCACCTGATATCTTCCATCACGTCAAACTACCAGAATGTTCCACCAAACGTCCTACGATCCCTCATCTCTACCATCCTCACACAAATGAAAAACCCGACGCAGATAAAAACCCAAACCAGAAACCCAAACAACAACAACAATAATATTAATAATAATAATAATAATAATAATAATAATAATAATAATAATAATAATAATAATAATGTTGGTTTCACCTCAAAAGTACCTCAATACCAGTCACGTGACACTACGGCCAATCAGAATCAAGGAATGGGTCTGGTGACCTACCGGAAAGTAACGACGGAATACGAGGATAACGGATTCGCCAACCCCGAGAAAACGGTGGTCCAGATAACTTTCCCGGTGAACACTAGTCTGCTTCAACCAACTCCTGCAGTGTACCAAAACAGAGATTCGAACCCAAACCTGAACGATCCAAAACAAGAACACATTCGTAGGGGACTGCATGTGTCAAAAGCGGCAGAAATCAGAACCCCACACCCCCGCGTACAAATCGCAAGCCATTTTGAACGAGGGGGAGATGACTCCAGCACATTTCAAAATCTGGAAGATCTGTCTCCAAGCAGAAAAGCGGAGAAAGGTAGTAACAGTCGAAATCTCGTTTCCTACAACAACAATCTCCCGAGGCAGCACGAAAATATCATGACAGATACAGCCCTTCGTTCCCCAGGAATCTTGGAAGTTTCCAGAACTGAGAACAACCGACGACAGACCTCACAGCTCCCCCATACCAACCAGCAACAGGCTTCTATTTCGCGCGAACCCTCAAAAAGTCATGGTGAAGGAGGGAAAGAAAGCTCTCTCCCCACACCACGTCAACGGTCTCGCCTCGCCATCTCCCCATCCCCCACGCCTCCCATCAGAGCAGTGGAGGAACCATCCCCAACATCGGGAACTCCCTATTCCACCAGCGCGCTCTTCTCCCACAGGTACATTACCATGAACCTCCTCAGCCACAAGAGCACCGAACCCGTGCTAACCACTACAACCTTGTCGCCGTCCATTGTCCGACCAGGTCTCTACAATCTCTCAAAGCAGACGAACCCCACACCCTTCCCGGCTTCGGTTCGAAATGAGTCGTTTTCGACCCTGGGAATTTCTAATCAGCTGTCACGTAATTCCTCCGGGACACGAGCAGACACGTCGACGTTTATGTCGTTTCTCGATTCTGCTGTGGAAACTCTCCACGGTGCGACTTCTTCTACTTCCGCTAATCTCGCACGGCTCGAGGTGCGTCTTCCGGAAGTGACGTCATACCAACCGCGACAAGCTCACGGCCCTCTTTCCGAGACAACCGTCTCCAACAAAGAGTTTGTTCAATCTATTCCTTCAGCTACAGCCAACAAAATGGCACACTCGCACGTAGCTATTGAAGAACTGAACCGACTTACGACAGCAGTAACGAGCATTACAGCAACGAAAAACAATTACAAAAGTATCCAAAACCCACAGCCAAACACAAACTTGACGACTGACAGAACACGGGATAGGAAGTATTCACCTCCCACCAACAGTCTCCCGGTGAGAGAAACTATCCACATTCAGCAACCAGGCATTCGGCAGCAACATGTGAATACCGTACCATCAGCCACAAATACAGGACACGCTCACCTTTTAGAGACACGGCCTTCTGACGTCACACACAACATCCGCACAGTCAGCCTACCAGGAGATCTCACGCTGACCTTGACCCCTCCGTCACCATCGTTGGATCAGCAAAAGCTCAGCGTGGTGAACTCCGTCATTCAGAACATCCTCGCGTCCACCGGGGAACAAGAGCTACGCTACGCCCACAACCACGCCCAGCTGGCGCAGAGAGCTTTGGAGAAAGTGGCGCCACAGCTGGGCCCTTCCCCTACCTCGAGAATCGCCGCAGAGTTTCCCGCTCAGGGCCTCAACAAACAAACTCGTCATGGCGGGTATGAACTCTCGTCGGTGTCAACGCACGATAATACAATGCGTGGTTCAGAATCGCCACCCAGGACGTCACAAAGTCAGACACTTTATCTAAATGAGAAAACTGGTTTATCAGACACGACGAACAGAAACACGGACATCTCGTCTATCAGTCGAAACCCGTCAAGCAACCCGGGGAGAACAGCCTTATCTGGACAGAAAAGCAACTCCCGGAGAGATCCACAAGTTCATTACGAAGTGGTCCCTCCAATCGTTCCAGAAAATTCTGGGCAGAACTATCAAAGTTCATCTGCTGCGTCTTCTCGTCAGGCTGGCAATACGCTCGGAACTCAGTTCAGATCTCAAACCGGACTCTCTCACACTCCACAGACAGACCACTGGGGACACTCTCAAGACTCAGGTGGCTTTAACAGAGATGCATTTCCTCAAAGACCACCCCCAAATACAAACGTGGTCGCTCCCTTTCCTCAAAGACTACCCCCCAACTCAAACACCTTATCTGATCCTCAAAGACATCCTGCCAACTTAAATACAGCTTCCTTACCGCAAAGACCACATCAAAATACGTACGCGGTCCTAATACCTGGAGGGCAATCTCCCAACACAAAGATGGACACGTTTCCTCAAAGATCTTCTCCAACTATCAACACGGCTCCGTTTCCCCAAAGCCAATCTTCCAGCTCGAACAAAGCTTCGGCAGCGTGGCAAGGGACATCCTTCAGCAGCAATCAAGAGCAGCCAGCTTCTTACACGGCATCCCAAAGCGTGCAGAAAGCACCACCGCCCACACAAGGTGGACTAGGGAATCAGAACTACCAAAACCCTGCTCCGCTTCCCCGAAACCAGCCTTACGCCATTCAGAAACCTCCACTGGCCCCGCAAAACAATCAAAATAATATACCTTACAGCGGTCTAGGCCAAGAATCTTTTCAAAATAATCGCCAATCAAACAACCCTTCACAACGAGAGCCCCCTTCGTCCCCTCATTTCCCTCCTCCTCCTCTCCCCCACCCTCAAGATACACCACATACAACCCAACCTCCTTTCGTAGACTACTGGGACTTTTTATCGTGGCAGCAATCACTTTCCTCCCAGCAACGACAAAACCCACCAATCAACAGTCCGGATTCCCTCCCACCACTGACCACGCCCCCTCCGTTATGCCCGCCCCCTGAGCAGATGGTTTGCGCACCGACCCGCGCGTCTGCTAGACTCGTCTCCTTCTGCCAGCAGCGCTGTGACGTCACTTCCGGGACGTGCAGCAGCGCGTTGTGCAAGTGTTCCTGCAGCGGCCAAAGCTCCAAACACGACCTCCACCAGCTCGCTAAACGAACCACGGCATCGGCTCCTACGTTTTACGATCCCATCCCCGGCGCCATCATCGAGTCCGGAGATTTGATGATATCTGGCGTTGACCCTGACCTTCTCACGACCCCACCGCCTGTGAAGGTCACAACTCCGGCGAAAATGTCCGAGGAAAGTTTTCAGAAATTTCTGCAACATTTTGCACGTATGAGCGGTAAAGAATCTCAAGGAACTGCTGAGCCCGATATTGACTGAAGAGAGGAGGGGAGAGGGGG